GAAACCTATTACATAATGTCATTTAATACACCTGATTCTGCAGATGCTCTTTGAAGAAGCCTCAGTGGAGGGCATCGTAAACGACTCTGCACATTCGTATTCATCCCAGGTACAGAAGGAACAGACTAAGTGCCGTGCTAGGCACCACCTGCCTCTGGCAACCATTAGCACTTATTCCACCGCTCTCTCCAGCAAGTCCAAGAGATAGCAAAACATAAAAAGCTATTGTCCATGTCCAGTGAGAAATGAAATGCACTGGAGCAAGTAGCACAACTTCCTTAAAATAATACAACACTTCATCTTTTTGCATCTGGATCCCTCTCATGGTTTGCAATATCATAAACCACTGAAACCAATGACTTCAGCCATCACTGCCTTATCATATTTAAATGCCTTCTTTTAAAAAGCAATGTATTACATACTCTCTATGGTCTTACCTTATTGAAAGCACTTAATCCAGCTCATCTCCTGCTTTACTTGGTAGTGATGGAGGCAATTGGAAGGATGGAATCAATTTATTAATACGAGAACAGGCCCTATAGTTCTGGCCGGTGAGCACAATTTCTGAATCACAGTGTACCTCAAACCTAACATTTACCACATAAGAAAAAGCTAATGGCTTCAAAAAGTCCATGGAAAACATTCCATTATCTTTTCATCACATTTTTCTATGAATGTTCTGAACACTTCTCACATAACAATGATTTTATTTGTAGGCTTATTCATTACAGATTTGATTGAAGTGCCTAAGAAATAGATTTGGTCTTTGGCGAAGTGCATTTGGGAAGAAGCACACATTGGTATGTGAATTATATCTCAATTAAATTGTCATTAAAAATGCAAAGAGAACAACAACAAAAAAAACAGAAAGTGATACAGCAATGGTTAGGAAAAAACAGGGAACAAGAAAGAGGAAGGAGGAAAGCTGGAAGAAGCAAGCAAGTAAGCTAGCTGTCAGTTCAGATCTTTCGTTTTAGGAATTATATAAGAGGAGCAGATTTCCTTTTCAAAGTTCAAAAGCAACGGTGTGTTTTGTTTTCATACTTCGTTTCATTTTCACTTGGGAAAAAAAAACCCTCAGCTTTGAAGCTTCTCTGTTTAAACTCATTAGGAAAACCATCAATGATAGCTTTCATGAAATCGTAGCGGGAGGAATTAATGTTATGGGAGAGCCTGATCAATCTTCAAACGTTTCATCTGTGGAGATGGGAGGTCAGCACTAGCTGCTTGTTCAGCTGGAAAGTTAACATAAACAAATGCTTCGCTTATTGGAACATCCAAGAGACTAAAGACACAGATATTGCCCCTCCAAATACTTCCTAAGAAGCCAGTCCTACTGCTACATGAAAGTGATGGATGTTTCTCCAGAACGAAGTGAGTGAATTGATTGCCAAAATGTTTTACCCTGAAGAGAAGGCACCCTTTTAGCATCCCCCTGGAGAGGAGGTAGTGATGTTACCATTCGCTGCACAGAATCTCATTCAGTATAATTCATCACTTTACTGAGTTTGGCACAGAAACTTTAAAAGCAGGGTTGGTGGAAGGAAATATATGAGGATGGCTTTCTTGACATCTGATTTTTTTTTTTTTTTTTTACTCTGAAGTTTCTTAATCTTTGCTAAAGTTAAAATACAGTGATCTTTGTAATTCACTTCATTCTTGAAGCATATTCTATAGCCCATCTGACTGACTCAGTTAGGAACTGAGGGTCAGAATGTAAGGATTAAATACTTGACGTCTAAAAGGAGAGAACTGCAGCTGACTTGCAGGACAAGGAAAGATATGGAATTTATGGGAGACACTGAGGACTAACAGGTATGATTGGCCCCTCTAATAAAATTGTTCTGGAAAAATGGTTTAAAACCATCTTTAGGCCTACAGCAGAGGAGGGTTGAAGTAATTTGTGATCTGGACATGAGCTAACAAGTTGTTGTTAGGTGCCATCAAGTTGGTACCAACTCATAGTGACCTTATGCACAGCAGAATGAAACACTGCCTGATCCTTGGCCAACCTCGCTACTGTTGCCACGCTTGAGTCCATTGATGCTGCCACTTGGCCAAGAGGTTCAAGCCAGATTCAGAAGACGCCGTGGAACGAGGGACATCATTGCTGATGTCCGATGGATCTTGGCTGAAAGCAGAGAATATCAGAAAGATGTTTACCTGTGCTTTATTGACTACACAAAGGCTTTTGATTATGTGGATCATGACAAGCTATGGACAACATTGCGAAGTATGAGTATTCCGGAACACTTAATTGTGCTCATGAGGAATCTGTACCTGGACCAAGAGGCAGTTGTTCGAACAGAACATGGGAACACTGAATGTTTTAAAATTGAGAAAGGTGTGCAACAAGGTTGTATTCTTTCACCATACTTATTCAAACTGTATGTTGAGCAAATAACCCGAGAAGCTGGTTTATATGAAGAGCTAAGAAGAAAGACCTAATATTTCTCTTTTTCTTACAAGAAGAAGATAAAACAATACAAGGTGGCAAGGACTCCTGGTGTGGTCCTGTAGGATCAGCACTGGATTGCAAACCACAAGGTCGGCAATTCACACCCACCAGCTGCTCCTTGGAAACCCATACAGAGTCGCTATGAGTCAGAACCCACTTGACAGCACTTAACAACAGCAATATACAAGGGGGCAAGGTGCTCCTGTAGGGCAGTGGGTTACGTGTTTGGCTGCTAACCTCAAGGTCAGCAGTTAGAATTTACCAGCAACTCAGGAGGTGAAAGATGAGACTTTCTGCTCCTGTAAAGATATACAGTCTTGGAAACCCTATACAGGATTACTCTTAAGTTGGAATCAACTTGATGGTACACAATTAGCTCTACCACAACATAAGGGGGTTTCAAAAAGTTTGTGAAAAACTGGAGTTAAAGGACACTGGAAGTTTTCCTTGAACTCTTTTGAAGCCACCTTATAGTTATTTATATGGGGATATGTACAAAAGCATTGCTACTAGGCTTCCAGGTCATACATAAGTGGGTTTATTCTAAAAAAAATTAAATGCGTCTTAATTATATATCTTAATTAAAATGTCTTAATAAAACATGTCTTTATGATCAGTAGAAGGCTGCAGACAAGTTCTCTCAGTAATACACTTATCGTAAGAGTCCTGGTGTGGCACTGTAGGATAATACACTAGACCGCAAGGTTGGTTTGAACTGAAAGGTCAGGGTTCAAACTCACCAGCCATTCCTCAGAAACCCTATACAGGGTTGCTATGAGTTGGAACTGACTTGAGGGCACTTAACAACAACACAACAGTCCTATTAGAACACTGTAAAAGAAAGCACAGTCAAAACACGGGCTTCCTACGGGATCTGCTGGGCCAGTTCCATTCAAGGCAGAGAGGTCAGCTTAGAAGATTATGGTGACTGTATTTTGGGACTTCAGAGGGGTCAAATCTTGATTTTCTGAAAGGACACAATTTTAACAAAATTGAAAATTGCATTCTTGAGAAAAAGACCAGTAAAGTTACACAAATAATTTTTTTTTCCTTCGTGACAATGCTCATTTTTCAGGGTAGCAAGGGCGGTTCTAGGGGAATTTCTTTGGGAAACCATTCCCCATTCACCCCATAGCTCTTCAGACTTCTTTTTGTTCCCCAAACTCAAAGAACATTTTAAAGGAACACCATTTTGAAATATCCCCTGAAACTGGTGCCCTGAATTAAGATTTCTAGCTTAAACTGAGAATTATCCCTGGTGGTATAGTGGGTTAACCATTGGACTACTAACTGCAAGGTCAGTAGTTCAAACCCACCAGCAGGTCTGCAGAGAAAGATGAGGCTGTCTATTTCTGGCAAGATTTACAGTCGAAGGCACCCTATGAGACCGCTTCCTTTGTCCTACGTGATCACTGCCAGTCATAATTGGCTCAATGGCAGTGAATTAAACTCTGGGAGAAAAATTTTTGTTATAGCCACCCACTTGTGGTATTTGTTCCAGTAGCATTAGATGACTACTACAGGGGCTGTGAAATAAAATGGTCTGCCCTTCTGCCAAGTCCACCCCAAAGACGAACTCAACCAATTGCTGCTGAGTTGCTCCAACTCATGGTGATTCCGTGTGTGTCAGAGTAGAACTCTGTTCCACTGGGTGATTTTTCTAGAAGCAGATCACTAGGCCTTTCTTCTGAGGTGCTTCATAATAAACTTGACCCTGTAGCCTTTCGGATAGCAGCTAAGTGTGTTAAGTGTTTGCAACACCCAAGGAATTTAAAGGACAAACTAAAACCCAAAAGCCCACTTCTGTGGAGTTGATTCAGACTCACAGAGCCTATTATTTAAAATCCTGATGAAATCAAACAGAGTATCAAGTTCACAAAGCCTAACTTTACATTTCTTTTTACTAAGAGTGGTGGTGATGGTAGTTATGTGCCTTGGAGTTGGTTCTGACTCACTGCGACCCTGCACAGGGTTTCCTAGGCTGTAAATCTTTATAGGAGCAGAAAGCCTCATCTTTCTCCTGCGGAACCAGCTGGTAGTTTCGAACTGCTTATGTTGCAGTTCGTAGCCAAATTCGTAACCACTAAGAGTTGATGACCTATTATTTTAGGAAAACCAAGTCTGTTTGTTATCCCTTACTTCACTCATGAGAAAACAAGGAGTAAAATTGACCTATCCAAGGTAAGGATCTATTTCTACCCAACATAATGATCACTAACTAATCTAAAGGAAAATAGCCATTACTTATACAGCCATAATGTGGATGCAACATGGCATGTAAATCAGTAACTCATGTATTGCAAAACAGACAAATAGATTAATGCATGTTGCAAAGGGTGGGTGAAGCAATCGATTAGGTTACTGATTCAGACCATGAACTTTCTCTCAATACACTGCATTTAACTTTTAAATAAGGTTTAGGAGAACCTGTAACATTTTGCTCACTGACAGAGCTATATTTTACTAAGGGCAGAAATTGGCTAGTCTATAAAAATTAAATTATACCCCTTTCACTGTATCTAGTCAAGAGGAAAAACTCTAATTACAAGATTGCACTGTCAAACAAATGCAAATTCACATTCTTTATACCCTGGTTTAAAAATTCATAGTTGGGGTAGGAGTGAGGGGGGCGGTTATATTCTGAAATAAAAATCAATATTTGAAATATTTTTGAGGCCGGCAATGATAAGAGCATAAGAAATGTCACTATCAAGGGTGCTGCTGGTATGGAGCCTCTAACTCATTAAGAGAAGAGCATGTGAGAGCAAGACATTCGTTATGCAAACATTTAAATATCAATTAGTAAGGACAATGAAAGAGCCTAAACCAATGCTTCTCTTCTTTACAACCTGTGCCTTATCACTCCAGAAATGACCAAGAGAGAAAAGAACATTGAAAATAATTGCAGCACCTAATAGGAATGGTACACTGGGGAGTAGGTAGAGGTTAATTTTAACTGCATTTCCCACCAGAAAATTAAATGTACCTGCTTCGAAATTCATACGAGCTGAGCTAGCAGATTTAATCCAAGACTAACTGAAGGACTGGACATATTGCATCACTGGTAGTTTTTGTAAAGAGACTGCCTTTCATTATGGTTTAATGTCAGAGTTGTCTGATTCATTAAAATCTCATCATTCGTTTAAACCCCTGGTTTTTTGGAACCTATTAAAAATGCCAGTCCACATAGCACTCAGTCTCTAAAAACCAGATTGCTTTTTATATACTTTTGACAGCGACTTATTGTCTATCTGTCCACTTAACCAGTCCATTCAGGCTGTGCGGTGAAACTGGGGGACACTGAAGTCGTGTCAGTCCTTAGAACTTTGATTGATCTTTTCAGACAAAGCTGGTCATTTATTTTACTATGTAAGGTCCTGGCCAGCTAGTGGTGCAGCAAAGCTGCTGCCCTGGAAACAGTAATAGTTGACTGATGGGCTTAGACCAGGCACTTCATTTTTCTGGGTCTCACTTTCTTGGTCTTTAACACACATGAAAAGGAATCCTGGTGGTACCATGGTGAAGTGCAAGGCAGCTAACTGAAAGTTTGGTGTTTCAGACCCACCAGTAGCTCGTTCCCCGTGAGAAAGGTAAGATGCAATCAGTCTGCCTCCATAAAGACTGCAACCCTGTAGATGCTATGAGACAATTCTATTCTGTCTCACAGGGTCATTATGAGTCAGAATTGACTCAACGGCAGTGGGCTTAGTGCAACAAAAGACTTGTTGTTAAGTGCTGTCTAGTCTATTCTGACTCAGGCTCCGACTCATAGGGATCCTGTTAGAAGATTTCGAATGCTGTAAATCTTTGTGGAAGCAGAGACCCTCATCTCTCTCCTCTGGTGGGTTCAAACCACCAACCTTGTAGTTTGCAGTGCAGAGAACTAGAACAATTGTGAAGTCAGGGTACTCCAGATGTGTTTGGTGGTGGTTATGTGCTGTGGAGTCGATTCTGACTCATAGCGACCCTGTACAGGGTTTCCGAGGCTGTAAATCTTTATGGGAGCAGAAAGCCTCACCTTTCTCCCATGGAACAGCTGTAGTTTCAAACTACTGACCTTGCGGTTCACAGCCCGACTTGACTCATAACTGCTACGCTACCAGAGCTTGATAAAAGACCCAGGCTCTCCAGAGACTAATTGAATGAACTTCTTCAAGGGGGGCCCAGTCATATGGATTTGGATACAACTCCCTAAACTAAGAGTCTGGGCTCTTTCAGCACTAACACACTATGATTCTCAGGACAACATATATTATTAATCAAACTTAAATGGAAGTTCTGACCTCCTCCTGAGTGGAAAAGTTAGATCCTGCAGTAAATTTAAATGCTGGCTTAGAACTGGCATGGGGAAAGGCCAGAGTCTCAGCGGAGGCTCACCAGATTTCCCAAGATTTTACATGTAAAGTTGGCAAGGAAAGGAGCCAATGCATAAGGGCACACAACAAAAGTTCTTACTTTGATGATTACTACAACCCTGTGGTCATTTAGGGTTGTGCTCCATCCTTGCCAGTAAAAAGAGGGTTGGTTCATGGTGGTGATGGTGGTTGTGTGCTGTTGAGTTGGTTCCTAATCACAACGACCCTGTATATGGTTTCCAAAGCTGTAAATTTTTACGGAAGCAGAAGGCCTCATCTTTCTCCCGTGGAATGGCTGGTAGATTTGAACTGATGACTTTGCGGTTAACAACCCAACTCAACCCACGATGCTACTACCAAAGAGGAGGGTTACTGTCATTAAGATGAATTGGTCTCTAGCAATTACATGAAGATGGAGGTAAAAAGAGAATTGGAAGCAAATGCATTTGGCTGATTTCTCCTGGTATGGCACTGTAGAATCAGCAATGGATGGCAAACCACAAGGTTGGCAGTTCAAACCATCAAATGTTCCTTTGAAACCGAATTCCAATGCACTTAACAACAGCAACTGAACTTAGGCTAAGAATGTTGTTTCCCCATGCACAGACACAAGGCTAGCATCCTTCCCCTTATAACTGATTTTATCTATGACTTCAGCTTCACTTCCTGTTTCTCAAACATCACAGGTGGTCATAATTGGAATTACTTTCTTACCTTTGTCTTTTTCTGCCTTTCAACCTATGACCTGCATCTGGCTTGCAGAGAAGGTGCTCACCTTGACAGAGCTAATAGAGAAAGAGACACCTCAGGCCAGGTGCTTATGGTTCTCTGTGAAACAGTTTCTCATGGATAAAATGGGAATTTTAGTTCCTGCCTTCCTTACAGTGCAGTTTGGAGGAGGAAATGAAGATGAAAAGTAGCACTTTAAAAAGGAAGTACATATGATTCATCTTGGATACACTTTCAGAGGAAGAAACGTCTCAGAAAAAGAATACCTGTTTTGGCAGTGACATGTTTCAACATCCTTTTCTCTCCTTGTCTCAACCATATCCCACATAATAAAACATAAACCCAGTGTTAAACAATGTCTTAGAGGATTCTGAAGAAGTTCCTAATATGACCACAGTACGTCCCCATTTTGTCTGGCTCTAAACTACTGCGTGGAAGAAAGCTACAAATATTTGAAAGTAACAACACTGATGTTCAGAGTGATTGGGACTAAAATCACAGGAGTCCCTCTGGTACAGGGTAGTCAATTTCTTGCTCAGATACAATGTTCAGAAAAGAAACACAAGGAGAAGAGAAACAATTGGACAAAACCATGCACACCAAAGCATCAGCATTAAAAAAGCCCAAATCTTATTTGACAAAAAATTGCATGCTGCTGTTCTTGGGTCAAGTTACTCATTAGAACATCTTAAAACCATACATGCATACATGCAGAAAAGTGAGGAGCTATCATCAGAACCTCAAATAACCATGTGGTAGCAACAAGACATTTCCCGGCCCCTCTCTGAGAAGAAATCAGTATCCAGAAGGTGGTTGCTTCAAAACTACACCCTTTGCCATTGTGTTCAGGGAACCACACATGAGTTCACTGGGGTCTGTTTTCATTTCATCAAATAGAAGACCAGTAGGGCTTTGCTTGGTTCATTCACTAACATGGATCACATGATACTATTTCTTATCTTTACAATTTAGTATCTATACAATGAAAAAAAAATTCCATTTATGGGTTTGACCCTGGTATTGAGCTATATATAATTCACTCATTCCTTAAACAAGGAGCTATGGTAGCGTAGTGGTTACGAATCGGGCTGCGAACCTCAAGGTCAGCAGTTCGAAACTACCAGCTGTTCCACGGGAGAAAGATGAGGCTTTCTGCTCCCGTAAAGATTTACAGCCTCGGAAACACTATACAGGGTCGCTATGAGTCAGAACCGACTCCACGGCACACAACAACAACATTCCTTAAACATTCCAACTGAATTTAGTGAACTTGATTTCTTATCAAATTAATTTTGGAGGGAGTCTGGGAAGTTCCTTAGTGAGAAGACTTTGGCTAGCTGACTTGAGGGGTCTTGCAAACCCCCTTCTTCTCTTCCCTTATACCCAGGCCCAGCCAGCAGTCAGCCAACAACTTAGTTGGTGGGACTGGGAGCTGCTGTCTTTTTAAAAAGAGCTTGGACATTTGTGCCTGGCATTTGATGAAATAGTTCTAAAATTAAATAAAGATCCTGTAGCATTCGTCAAAGAAATATGGTGAGGCTCTATGACAAAACACATTTTTCAAGTTCTAATCTCTGGCAACTTCAACAAGCTTGTATTTCAGCCTGACTTTGCTCACTGTTGCTTATTTGCCCAACTAAGAGAGGGGAGTAAATAAAGAGAAGAAACCCACTAATTTAAATGCACTTCCCCTCCCAAATCCCTTGGGGAGAAGCCCTGGTAATTAAATCTAATGAGATTAAAGTAACTTGGAACTCTCCATTTTCCCAGCACTGTAAATCTGTGATAACCAGTGTGTGCATTAAATCAAAGTCAGTCCCTTTCCTGTAATTTAATGGCCCCCTCACTCCCACCATCCGCGCCTTATGAAGGGGTGAGGGAAAGCTGTCTGGCTCTTACCCGCACTTTGCTCCATCACTTCTTTCTGACACATGTCCTGAACGTTCACCGTGCAATTCACAATGAACTCCGGGGATGAGCAATCATTGTTGAGCTGAAATTCCTCACACTGGTAACACTGTATCTGCAGCGCAAAGCCTGAAGGAAAGACACAGCTGGGTTCAGATTCGGCCCTGACAGAGCCCACCAGGGAAAACAGGAGCCTCCCTTGCCTCAGCCAGCTGCCCCTCAGGCATCTTGAATGCCTGGAAGACACCTGGGTCAGTAAGGTGGGAATGAGACTGAAGCCATCAGGGGACTTCTAGGGCAGCTAGCGTCCTGCAGGATAAAATGGAATTCTGCCAGATATGCTGGTACCCCACCTCCACCAACCTACACTACTCCCTACCTTGTCCCAAAGAAGTTTAAAAGAAGGGGATTACAACTCTTACAAAGTCTCTTCAGAGAAGTGCGGCAGAGCCAGTCTATACCAGAAGATTTGCCTAACTGCTGATTATTTCCAAATTACTTAATTACTATGTTGGCACCATTCACGATTGCATTCGCAGCCGCCTTGTTAGTTTTATTTAATTTTTGCAATCCACGCTCCAGTGTTGTGGCTGCCGGACTCCCTTAATGACCACTGGGGAACCCTGGAGGAGGTGCCTGGCTCCAAGCTCTACTTCGTCCCTAAATCCCGAGGCGGCGAGGGTAGTTGCAGATGACATATATATGAATAAGCCCGCACCTTGAGTCCGGACACCACAGGCCCTCTACCCCGTCCCCTGGCTTGGGGGCAACTGGTTGGCTGCGGTTCGCAGAACTCAGTCAGGAGCTGTACTGCCAAATGAAGAGAGGAAGCGAGACGTTCGCACCTACATCTCGCCGACCTGACTGCTCTGCTCCAGTCTTCTATCTAGACCTCACTGACCACTGCCTCGGCCTGAGCGGTCATCCTCTGAGAGCTGCAGCCAAGCCCTGGAGCACCCCGGCCGCAGGTCCGTCTAGGCTCTGTTCACCTGTCGGCGGCGCCACTCCCATCGGTTGCCAGCGACGCCTGGCAACTTGATAGAAATCGGGGTGGGGGTCTCCCCCTCTCCTTCGCCAAGGCCCATCACAGCTCCAGCCTTTTCTTCTCCCCAACCCAGCTTCGCTTTCCGACTGCGCAGCCGGAACAGCTGCAGCCTGAATCGGACAAATCTGCCGCTCTCCTCTGCAGCGCGGGACTTAGAGACTTTCCCAGTCTAGCGCCCCTTGGCACCAGCGGCCGCCACTGCCAAACTCCCGTTGGGCAGCACCGAGCGACGCGGGGCCCCGAGGAGGAGGGCGCCTTAGGGGCGCAGGAACCCGCGGGCCGATGGGGTGTGCGCGCTTGGCCCGGCTAGTAACCGCTTGTTCTTTCTTACCTGGAGGCAAAAGCAATCCGCAAAAAGTTGCTGCGATGCCGAGGACCCACATCATCCCGGAGCCGTGGGGCCGGGAGCGGGAAGGTGCATCAGAGGCGGCGACCGAGACGGTGGCTGCCCGGGCCGCAATGGCTGTGGCTGCCGAGGCTGCTGAGGGTCGCGCTGTTGCCGCTGAGGCGACGGTCGCCGCCAAAAGGAGCCGCAGGTGCCGCCGGCGGCGTCCGCATCGCCCGCTCCCAGGCTCCCGGCTGCGGATCCCCGCTCCGCCTGCTTGAGCTCCGGGGTCGTGTGCTGAGCTTCCTGAGTTGGTGACTGAGACTGAAGGGAACTACTGGCGATCCAGAGCACCCAAAAAAGTCTCGCCTGTTTTCCCACCTCCCACTCCAGGCACCACGTGACTGCTGCCGACTTGGGGTGGGGGGCGGGGAAGGCCGTAGCTCCACGTACCCACCCCCTTTCAGCCACCCTTCTTTATGGCTCAGGCAAGTCTTCCGAAAAGGGTCGCCGGGGGGCGGGAATTTGTTAAGGAGGCTAGAGGCTGACGGAGTAGTGGGGAAGCAATTGCCGCGGGGACCCACTGGGCGCGGACTGGGGGACCCATGAGGTGGAGGCGGGAGATGGCATGCGGTGCTGGTCGAGGGTGCATTAGGGACACGTCCTGTGCGACCCTCTGGTCAAGCTAACATCCCCACTGCGGAGACCAGCCCGCCCAGCCCGGACTATGGTGCAGCGGGCAGCCGAGCAGATCCCGCGGGCGGTTGGCTGGAGGACGCGGCTCTCTGGCGTTGGCAAACTTGCGCACTTTGAAGGTTCCCAAGGCTGACGGAGCAGCCGCGCCTTCCGCTCCTCCGGGAAGCTCCGCTTCAACTGCCAAAGGTGGTCAGCCGCATATTCTAGATCCCAGACATCCTTCTTTATCCTCCTGCCCCCGCTCCCCGCCTGTGCGTACCACTGAAGGGTGCTTTGGGACCCACCTAGGCCGCCTAGTCTAGGAGGGGACCGCCCCGGGATATCTCAGCAGGCTTCCATTAGAAAACAAATCGGGCTGAAAAATGAGATTGCGCTCCTCGCTCCAAAACGCCAAGCAGCTCACCGAATCTTAGTATGTATTCTTGCATCCTCTCCTGCACTGCATAACCCCAGTCCAGGACTCGGGCGCTGGCTGCCAGGCATTGTCTTTACAGATGCCCCCTACCCCCACCCCACCAAGTCCAAGCGACCCACCTTGAAGGCTCCCGGGGACTCCTTGGCCACGTATGCTTTGCTCGCTGAGACGTGCAGCAGGTGGTGCCAGAGCCCGCCAACCCACCCGGTGCGCCTTAATACCCCCGCCCCCAATCTGGCATGTTCAGACGCCTACACTTCAAATCTTTTGGGGTGGTGTGGGGGGAGGGAGGAGTCCATTTCAGGGGAAATAACCTCAGAGGCTTTGCCTTTCTTCACCTTCTCCTCTGGCCTCCTCTTACGGGGGCTTTCTCTAATCAGGACGTAAATCATTGATTTCCCCATCCTGTCAGCAGAGCAGGCCTGGAAATGGGTAAATGACTTCCTCATAATTCCTTTGCAGAGATCATTCCATATCTGCCACGGGCGCCTTCTCTCTTCCTGCCTCCCGACCCCCTCCCTTTCATTTCTTGTTGGTTAACCTAAGGGGAGGCTAAAATGCTTTGACCGTTACTAGCTTGCCTGCAGATTCCGATCTTACAATTCGCTGAATTACTATCACTGGAGCAAAAGGGCCCCGTTTATTTACTCCTCCAGGGGATTTCATTGCTGGTGCACGTGTGAATCAGGATTCAAAGAACTGACTGGGCCACATGGGCCTTTAACAAGGTTTTGTAAGTTCTGAGGTGCAATTTTGATAGAACTTTTATTCAGAAATGAAACAAAAGGATTTTTAAAAGTCTAAACCACATGGAAACTTTACACAGTTTTCATTTAAGATAACAAATTCAAAGATAACGAATTGCACAAATTAACCAAATAACACTGATCGTACTTTAATGCTTTTTAAAGAAACAAGTGTGTGCCAAAAGTAAGCACAGAGATCCTAAAAATATTTCTATTATGCCGATTTTACAAGCTCCTGTACAAAAGCAATTATAAATAGTCCTTCTAGAAAAAATACACATAACCTTTGCAATAGAATTTATCATTACATATAAACAGTCTTTGTAGAAAAAAGATATTACAAAGTAATAAATTTATGTAGCACCAACAAGTCATTTTATTTTTTAAAAAATGAATATTGCAAGTACGAATTTGCTTTCATTTATAATTTCCCAGATTTTAATAAAAAGATCAAGACTATAAAAATCAACAACAATCTTTAGAAAATCAAAGGGAAGCATTAAGTCCAAGAGGCTGTGTGGAAATGCTTGGAGGGAAAACCTGCTATTGGAAATACACTTAGATCACTTTTAACACACAGTCTTTCCAATCAGTATCAGTACCCTTTTTTCACTTTTACTTAGAAACAGACTTACACTTATGACTAGACTTACATTTATTACTAGAATTATCTCTGGAAATAATTTTGAAATTACATGAAAATTAAAACTTACATCAAATTTAGATTGTGAGATGAAAATTACAACGATCCCTATTGTTTCCAGCAAGCCCTGGTTTAGGGTTACTGAGTCTGAGTGTACCCATAAACAAGGAGGATTATATCAATGAACTTAACAACAACAACAAAAACTTCAGCTGAAATTAAAATATATATATATTAGCATCAACTTTTAAAACTTAGTACATCATTTCAAGAGCATGGCATTGAATCAATTTATTGCTGTCATTTTTGCTACAAATATAATTCCTTTCCCCAAAATTTACAACTTCTGTACAAGTATTCAAAAAAAGTGCAAAATTAAGACTTCTGTATTGTGCCTGTGTTCACTTTTAATTCTCCTGAAACACAACAAATGGAGCCCATCTATTATCCCTGTGTCAGCCAGGTAAGCTCCAGTGGATTGCTTGTTGTGAATCTGACAATGTAGGCTCTGCTACTGTAATAGTTTATTGTTGTCTCTCTCCCCACCATTCTCAAGGGCTCTACTTCCAGCTCACCAAGGGGGTGGGTGTGGGGGGAAGCCTTTATATATCATCTGAACCCTGGCTTACATTGGAGGAGATGCTGTCATATAAAGAATCACTCAGTGTTTCCATACTGTCTACCCCAGGTCTATCTGAGCTGCTCAAAGATGCCTCTTCGGTTTTGTTTTCTTTTCCTCCTTTTTATCCGTCAACGTTGCTCGGAGAGTTCTTCTCTTTTTCTAATAAAATCATGGTATTGCTGTTAAATTTATTGAATGACTCCAGGGAAATTTTAGATAATCTATTCTCAGGATCTTCTTTTATTTCTTCAACTTGTTTCAATCTCTGCAATAAAAAGAAGAAAATATTAGAAACATATTTCTTTGGAAAATCAAGTTATCGTATCCAATATTCCATGATTGTCTGTATAAAGTGCAGTTTAAAGGGATAGAGAGCGCCTACATGTCTTTAACTATCTTCTAGTACAATTAAATGTAATAATAAAGTCAATTGTAGGGATAAATCAAGACTTTAATCATTTTACAGAGATAAATAGGCCCCAATTTGCAAACCAGTTAAGTGCCACTTAATTTCATTTTAAATGGATCCATTTGAAATTTGTTCAGGTAAAGTGCCTTATTTTTCCTAATCAAAGTTTCAGACGACTCCTTTCCCTTACTATTTGTTGTATTACTTCTAAATATAAATAGGGATTGAATTTTAGTTAGAAGTTAGGGTGTTATGGGGGAAAAGGCAAACAAAACCTCTGGAATTGGCATGAAATGTTAGTGTATGTTAAAGTTTCAGAGCAGTATCACACATTTGCATTTTATCCCTTTATATATCTTTAAATGTTTGAATGAGACTTTTAAGGTCAAAGGCCCAAGGATTTCAATTTCACAGTAACATGTATCGAAATAATCCCTTTTCCCCAAGAAGGACCCTTGACGGCGCAGTGATGAAATGTGCTTGCCTGCTAATGGAAAGGTTGGCAGTTCATACCTACCCCCCCCACCCCCCAGGTTGTTCCTCAGGAGAACATGTTGCAGTCAACATCCATGAAAATTTATAGCCTTGGGAACCCTATGGGCAGTTCTATAGGGTCACTAGGAGTTGGCATGAACTCGATGACAGTGGGTTTGGGGTTTGGTCCCTGCAGGAGGTTCTTTAAGCACTAATTTAAACAAAGGCATTTATTTAAATTGTTTTTGGTGTCTCTAGGACTTTACACTGCAGTCATATTAGTAATTATTACTAGCAATCCCTGTAAACATGAATGTTTTTATTTATGCATCTGGCCTGCAAGGTTCAGGTCTGGGGAGAGGAGATAGGTAGGAACAGATGCAGAATGCAATGCAAGTGGGTCCCCAGCCAACGTTTCAGTTAACAGCCTGATGCCTAACCCACTGTGCCACCAGGGCTCCTTATTGAGAAATATATTGTTGTTAGGTGCTGTTGAATCAGTTCCAACCCATAGTGACCCTGTATTTGGTTTCTGAGGACTGGCTGTCGAGCTTGATGCGCCAAACTTGCAGTTCAAACTGACTTTGCAGCGCATTAACCAACAGTGCCACACCAGGTATTGAAGTCCAATAAGACATTTCTCACTATTTTCCACCTTCCACCAAAAATTTCATGTCAGACAAGGATAAAGTAGGTAGAGAGACCTAAAGGTTGGTAATACTAGCTACCATTTATTAAGGAGGAGTGGTGCTGGTGATGTTGTAGGATAATCACTGGACTGCTAGCCACAAGGTCAGCAGTTCAAACCTACCAGCCGCTCCTAGGAAAAAAGATGAGGCTTTCTGCTCTCATAAACCCTATACAGGATTGCTATGAGTCAGAAGAACTACAGGAAAACACCAAATAGCTGTGGGTTAATGTGCCAGACTGCAAAGCCATTTGAACTGCAAGGTCGGCAGTTCAAGCTCACCAGTCACTCCTCGGAAACGCTATATAGGGTCACTATGGGTCAGAACTGACCCAATGGCACTTAACAACAACAATGTAAACGATACTTACATATTTTATCTATACCCATGTTTACAAACCTGTAAGTTACACATTCCCATTATAAAGACAAGGAAAGCAAATCTCAGAGTTACTTGCATAAGGCTGTCCAGCAAGCAACAGAAAACAGGATTTTAATACTCTTCTGGCTGCCTTCCATGCCCTTGTTCTTTCCACTAAA